AAACCAAGTACTGAGTACATATGCAGCTTCTACTTTTCAGAGGTGCGATATTGTTCTATGTACAATCCGTGTTTTATTGATTGCATGTAATATTCTCATTTTCTGAGATTGTGGATTTGGGGTTTTCATGAGCTGTAAGCCATAATCATCACAATGATGACAAATCACGGCTTGAACTATCTTGCTTTGCATGGAATGAGTCTCATATATTAGTTTCACCTTTTAGGTTTCATTACTGAAATAAATCAACTTTTGCACCATATTCTAATTTTTCAAGTTTCACCTGTATGTCAGATAACGCACCACTTCACCCAGAAAATTGTTGCAATTAGAAATGTTTGTCATTCTCGTGTTTTCCTTTTTTTGGTATTGGTATGACACAAAAAAGTGGAGAAACAAAAAAACAAGTCTGACACATTCCACACAAAGTTGGACATGTTTGAAGTCTAGACAGTGGTGTATTTTGGTTTTGCGGTGCCCTAGCCAAGAGTAAAATTTGGCGCCCCCCCCCCCCCCCAATCCAAATTGGCATCAGTGATGGCACAATGATGGAATGGGGGGGGGGGAGAGGGAGAGTTGTTCCAGCATTCACTGGCACAGCTCACAGAATGACATCCGTCGAGCATCCCTGAAGCCATGATCTGGACCGGGAGGGAGAGTCTGATACCTTCCAGCAGCCCTCAGCCTCTTGTGAATCCCAGCAGAGGTGTCTCCGGAGATGACTCCACTCCTCTACATCATCCTCAGGAGCTCCTGCGGTGCCTCACCTGCTTCTCCTTCCTATGTCACCTGCCACATGTGTCCATTTTGCCTTGGGGCGGTGCCGCCCCCCTGCAAAATGCCACCCAAGGCAAACACCTTGTTTGCCTTGCAGTAAATACGCCCCTGAGTCCAGCCTGGGTGTCAACCATGGCTACCTGCATATATGCAATGGAAGAGTTAGCTTAGCCACCCAAGGACAGGAGAGAAAATAAAGGGGGGAAAAAAAGCCTGGAAAAAAATAAAACAAATGCAGCCACCACTACAAATGCTTCTACACTACACACCGATCAGCTATGACCACTGACGGGTAAAATGAATAACATTAATTAACTTGTTCTAATGACACCCTAAAGTGGGTGGGATAGATCTGGCAACAAGTAAACATGGTCCCTGAAGTTGATATGTTGAAAGCAGAAAAAAATGGGCAAGCATAAAGATTTGAGGGACTTTGACAAGAGCCATATGTACTACTAAACAAGTGGATCAGAGCAAACCCAAAACTGCAGGTCTTGTGGGCTGTTTCCAGTCTGCAGTGGTCAGGACCAACCAAAAGTGGGCCAAGGAAGGAAAGCCAGCCAACCAGCAACAGGTTTATGGGCAGCCAAGGCTCATTGATAGAGGTGGGGAGGAGAAGGCTCATTGATGGAGGTGGGAATGGGAAGGATCATTGATAGAGGTGGGGGGCGGGAAAGATCATTGATAGAGCTGGGGAGGGAAGGCTTATTGATGGAGGTGGGGAGGAGAAGGATCATTGATAGAGCTGGGGAAGGAAGGCTTCTTGATGGAGGTGGGGAGGAGAAGGCTCATTGATAGAGCTGGGGAGGAGAAGGCTAATTGATGGAGGTGGGGGGCGGGAAGGATCATTGATAGAGCTGGGGAGGGAAGGCTTCTTGATGGAGGTGGGGAAGAGAAGGCTCATTGATAGAGCTGGGGAGGAGAAGGCTCATTGATGGAGGTGGGGGCGGGAAGGATCATTGATAGAGCTGGGGAAGGAAGGCTTCTTGATGGAGGTGGGGAGGAGAAGGCTCATTGATAGAGCTGGGCAGGGAAGGCTTCTTGATGGAGGTGGGGGGAAGAGAAGGCTCATTGATAGAGCTGGGGAGGAGAAGGCTCATTGATGGAGGTGGGGGCGGGAAGGATCATTGATAGAGCTGGGGAAGGAAGGCTTCTTGATGGAGGTGGGGAGGAGAAGGTCATTGATAGAGCTGGGGAGGAGAAGGCTCATTGATGGGGGTGGGGAGTGGAGGGCTCATTGATAGAGCTGGGGAGGGAAGGCTTCTTGATGGAGGTTGGGGCGGGAAGGATCATTGATGGAGGTGGGGAGCAAAGACTGGCCTACGTAGTCTGATCCAAAAGAAGAGCTCCTGGAGCTCAAATTGCTGAAAAGTTGCTGGTTCTGATAGAAAGGTGTCAGAACACACAGAGCATCGCAGTTTGTTGTGTATGGGGCTGTGTAGCCACAGACCGGTCAGGGTGCCCATGCTGACCCGTGTTCACAGCCAAAGGTTTCTACAATGAGCACATGAGAACAGGAAATGGACCACTGAGCAATGAAAGAAGGTGGCCTGTTCTGATGAATCATGTTTTCACCACAGAGATATACGGTTTTCTTTTACATCATATGGATGGCCGGGTGTGTGTGTGTCGCTTACCTGGGGTAAAGATGGCACCAGAATGCAGTATGGGAAGAAGGCAAGCCGGCAGAGGCAGTGTGATGGAATGGAGGCTTGGTGCCAGATAATACGGCATACCTTCAGAGGTCTAGTGGAGTCCATGCCTCAACAGGTTATGGCTGTTTTGCTGGCAAAAGTGGGACCTACTCAATATTAGATGCGTGGTCATCTTATGGCTGATCGGTGTATTATATTTAAATATTTATTTTGTTTTGGGGTTTAGATACACTTTAAAGGGTTAGTTCACCATTGTAAAAAATAACTTATGCAGTCAATAAGCTCCAGTAGGTAACAATAAATAGAAATTTGCTTTAAATAATAATCATTAATTTATCTGTAGCCCATTTGCACCCCCACTGTAGCCTTCCAAAAAAACCCTCCCTTTTTCTGCATAGCTCTCTTCTGTCCAAATGCCTGGATGATCCAGCTGGTGAATGCTCACCCCCATTATCACAGGATCAAGGACTGTCTTTGTTCAGGAAACTGATATTTACCAGTCCATGCAGTCCAGGACTGTCTTTTGCATGGTCAGTGTTCCTCCACACCACCATCTTGGTTTTAGGAGCCGGCTGTCACTTCCTGAGGACTCACAGCTGGCTCCCTACTGGGCATGTGCGAGATAGCTGACTGCCATGAGATTGGATCTGCTGCCCCTCTTTGAAGTGTACCTTTTATTCTTGGAGGCTGTGACTATAGGAAGAAGAGAGGAAAACATCATTCTCACCTAAACAAGAGAGAGGGGGCAGGTACATCTGCTCCTCCCCCCAAAAAATATATTCTATTTTTAAGCAGACTGGAAGAGAGGAAGCAAAAAACGGTAAGTTTACTTTTCGGGTGTAGGTCCACTGTCAAGTGTAAGCACGGCTTTTCAGGAAGATTTTCAGAAAATCCCCCCCGATGCAGTTCTACTTCCAATGAAGAGTACATACCACAGGTCCTCCTGATGGAAGTGATAAAGGTCTTTCCCAGGGGTGGACTGACAACTCATGAGGCCTCTGGGCAATAGGGGATCATGGGGCCCCTGTGTCCTCTTCCACACTTAAACCACACCCAAAAAAGCCTATGAAAGGTGCCAGGGGCATCTCATGGGGCCTCCTACTGACCCCGGGCCCTCGGGCAGTGCCCGAGTTTCCGAATGGTCAGTCCGCCCCTGGTCTTCCCATTCCAGATGCAGCTGGTTTGGGTCTCCAAACTGGTTTGGGACACGTATGGCATCTGGCCTTGCTTCCTACAATGCAGCCCTTGGTCCCACGCCTAGTTCTACTTTCAGGAAGTCTAAACCCGCTCACAAAGTGGCTCTACCAGTAGGTTGGAGTTATTGAATCTGTTATTCTGCCTCGTATGGGCATAAAAAAGGCTGACTTTAATGTATTCCAAAAGTGCACTTGTCCTTTCGCCGTGTTTTGGCATTGTTGTGTCATAGTTTGCCAATAGCCATTCCTATTTGGAGGCGAACCAACGGCAGTGTCCTTCAAAGGGATTACTGTTGTAGTTGCATGTATTCTTTAACTAGTTTAAAAGGGAAGGGGGGGGCAGATTGGAATAGGAGCTCTTACAGATACTCTACCTTTTCAATACGACAATGCTCCAGATTAAAATGGAACTGAACTCCTCTTCTACTCGACCCATCATTAACAATGGCTAGCCATTCTAGCGGTACCCTGACTACCTCAATGCAGTAGTTACAGGGGCAACAGACCAAGGAAGTCACTCCTCCATCTTTCCACCAGCCGTGATGCAGTGCCCCGACTTCTCATCTTTTCTTCCTTCCACTCCACTAGCCGCCCCTTTCTTTCAGACCTGATCTTTCCCCTCCCCCCTCGATACTAGCCACTCTTCTCATAGGCTCACGCATTCTCTTCATACTAGTAGACAAGTCTGTCAGTTGAATTGTGTTACTTGTCACTGTGTTACCCAGAGAAGGAAGCATTCAGCTAATTTAGTTGGGTTGTTGCCTTTGTAGCTCCTATCTAGATGATCAGAGGCTGCAACGCTTCTTGCAATTTTACTTGTCACTACTGGAACCTGAGTTTTTATACAGATTCTCGATGTGGATGTCTTACCATTTCAGTTGGCCTCATACTTCTACACTTCTATTCCTTGAATCTGTACTCCCTGTTTATAAAAAAAATTGGGGGGGGGGGGGGGGAGCAGATGTACCTGCCCCCTCTTTCTCGTTTAGGCAAGAATGATGTTTTCCTCTCTCCATCCTATAGTCACAGCCTCCAGGGATAAAGTTACACTTCAAAGAGGGACTGCAGACCCAATCTCATGGTAGTCCGCTATCTCGCACGTGCCCAGTAGGGAGCCAGCTGTGAGTCATCAGGAAGTGACAGCCGGAGGAGACCACTGAGTGGAGACCAGTGGAGGGATTGGCAAAGAGGGGTGGAGAACACTGAGTGGAGACCAGTGGAGGGATTGGCAGAGAGGGGTGGAGGACACTGAGTGGAGGCCAGTGGAGGGATTGGCAGAGAGGGGTGGAGGACACTGAGTGGGGGCCAGTGGAGGGATTGGCAGAGAGGGGTGGAGGACACTGAGTGGGGGCCAGTGGAGGGATTGGCAAAGAGGGGTGGAGGACACTGAGTGGAGGGATTGGCAGAGAGGGGTGGAGGACACTGAGTGGAGGTCAGTGGCGGGATTGGCAGAGAGGGATGGAGGACACTGAGTGGAGGCCATTGGAGGGATTGGCAAAGAGGGGTGGAGGCCAGTGGAGGGATTGGCAGAGAGGGGTGGAGGCCAGTGGAGGGATTGGCAAAGAGGGGTGGAGAACACTGAGTGGAGGCCAGTGGAGGGATTGGCAAAGAGGGGTGGAGGCCAGTGGAGGCCAGTGGAGGGATTGGCAGAGAGGGGTGGAGGACACTGAGTGGAGGGATTGGCAGAGAGGGGTGGAGGACACTGAGGACACTGTAGAGGTCAGTGGAGGGATTGGCAGAGAGGGATGGAGGACACTGAGTGGAGGCCAGTGGAGGGATTGGCAAAGAGGGGTGGAGGACACTGAACGGTTGGTAAGGTGGATGAGCCTGGCAGCAGCATTATTATTATACAGTATTTATATAGCGCCAAAGGGTCTGCTCAGCGCTGTACATTATAGGGGGACAGAACATGAGACAAGACAGTAACAATACAATACACGAGGGGTGCGAGGGCCCTGATCTTTCGAGCTTACAATCTAGGATTCATGATGTGCAAGCTGGGCAGGTGCCTTATTGTGAGGACTGAGTACAGGCTCTGTGTGGTTAAGGTGAGGTTAATTACAAATTACTGGAGCATCACAAACTTGGAATGCAATTATTTCTTACAATTTTGAGAAGGTGCCAATAATTTTGTCCAGTCTATTTTTGGGGTTCTGCTTGGAATGTGTCAGATTTGGCTTTTTGCTTCTCCTCTTTTTTGTGTCACCAATACAAACAAAAGAAATAAATATGAGATTGCCTAAACATTTGTAATTGCAGCAATTTTGCGGTTGAAGTGGTGCGTTATTGGACAGAAATACAGGGGGGTGACAAGTATTTTGGCCATGACTGTATCTTCCAAGGCTCCAATGATCAGGTCTTTCGTATGGAGCCCCTATGGTTTTTTCTATTGAGAAAGGGACAATCGGCCACTGACCGCTCTTCAAACGACTTCCAACATCACGACGGCTTTGTCATTGTCACAGTGCTGTAGCTCACTGTAGAAACAATAAATGCGCAAAACCTAACAATTTGTCGATTTGATGGTCATTTGTATCTTGATGGCGTTTCTCAAAAAAAAAAAAAAAAAGAGGATAGTTTGAGTCCAAAAAGAAAAAACTTTTGGCCGTTGGTTGTTTGGGACATAAAAGATATACCAGTTACTTTGTGTAGGCAGTTCTTTGCTCGTTATCTGTTCTGACCATGTTTGGAACAAGTAATTATTGCAGTCTGCTCTATATAGAAGTCCTCTGTGCAGATGGATGACTCGGGTTTAATGTATTTTCTATCAGCAGGGTAATGGGAATCCTCTAAACATATTATTTACACTGCAGCCTTTCTAGGCTGCGCCGTATTGAAGATTGGTTGCAGAATGTCTCGCCATACTTTCACAAGGAGCCATCCATGCTCTTGAAGTATTTACCCCTTCCTGACCAGAGGTCATTAATGCCGGAGTGCCCACACCAAATTTAGCATTGCCAACTTGTATCAATTAAAGTGTAACTATAGGGAAATCGAAAATTACCGTATTTTTCACTCCATAAGACGCACCTAGGTTTTAGAGGCAGAAAACAGGGGGAAAAAAAATTCTGAACTAATGGACTGCAGACATAGTACAGGAGATGACCAGAGACTGCAGACACAGTACAGGAGATGACCGAGACTGCAGACACAGTACAGGAGATGACCAGAGACTGTGGACACAGTACAGGAGATGATCAGAGACTGCGGACACAGTACAGGAGATGACAGAGACTGCGGACATAGTACAGGAGATGACCAGAGACTGCGGACACAGTACAGGAGATGACCAGAGACTGCGGACATAGTACAGGAGATGACCAGAGACTGCGGACATAGTACAGGAGATGACCAGAGACTGCGGACACAGTACAGGAGATGACCAGAGACTGCGGACAGTACAGGAGATGACCAGAGACTGCAGACAGTACAGGAGATGACCAGAGAGACAGTGCGATGACAGAGACTGCAGACAGTACAGGAGATGACAGAGACTGGATGATGACCAGAGACTGCGGACACAGTACAGGAGATGACCAGAGACTGCGACACAGTACAGGAGATGACCAGACTACAGGAGATGACCAGAGACTGCGGACACAGTACAGGAGATGACCAGAGACTGCGGACACAGTACAGGAGATGACCAGGACTGACACAGTACAGGAGATGACCAGAGACTGCGGACACAGTACAGGAGATGACCAGAGACTGCAGACATAGTACAGGAGATGACCAGAGACTGCAGACACAGTACAGGAGATGACCAGAGACTGCGGACACAGTACAGGAGATGACCAGAGACTGCGGACACAGTACAGGAGATGACCAGAGACTGCGGACACAGTACAGGAGATGACCAGAGACTGCGGACACAGTACAAGGAGATGACAGACTGCGGACACAGTACAGGAGATGACCAGAGACTGCGGACACAGTACAGGAGATGACCAGAGACTGCGGACACAGTACAGGAGATGACCAGAGACTGCGGACACAGTACAGGAGATGACCAGAGACTGCGGACACAGTACAGGAGATGACCAGAGACTGCGGACACAGTACAGGAGATGACCAGAGACTGCGGACAGTACAGGAGATGACCAGAGACTGCGGACACAGTACAGGAGATGACCAGAGACTGCGGACACAGTACAGGAGATGACCAGAGACTGCGGACAGTACAGGAGATGACCAGAGACTGCGGACAGTACAGGAGATGACCAGAGACTGCGGACAGCACAGGGATGACCAGAGACTGCGGACAGCACAGGAGATGACTGCTGACCTTTGGGGAGGGGGGGGAGCGGGTACCTGAATTCGACAGGTACCCGCTCTTACTTGCGCGGAGTTGTTCTTTGATCTTACCTGTTCCTCTATCCAGCCGCGCGCTGTCTTCCCGGCTTCTGTAGTGTCGGCGCTCGGCATCTCAGCCGGGTGCCCAGTGCGCATGAGCGAGAAGCACTTGCGCTTTGTGATTGGTCCGGCGGCTTCTGGGATCTGTCATGTGTCCCAGGTACCGCCTTACCATTCACAAAAAGCACCGCTTCTTGCGCATGCGCACTTGGCACCCGGCTGTCAAGCCCACACTACAGAAGCCGGGAAGACAGCGCGCGGCTGGATAGAGGAACAGGTAAGATCAAAGAAGATCAAAGAACAACTCCGTGGAAGTAAGAGCGGGTACCTGTCAAATTCAGGTACCCGCTCCCCACCTCCCCAAAGGTCAGCAGTCATCTCCATAAGGTCCCGCTGCAGAGCTGAGCGGCCAGCCCGGTATTCTGACACGGCGGCGCGGTGGAAATACCGGACCGGACGCTCCATATTCGCTCCATAAGACGCACTGACATTTCCCCCCCTTTTTTGGGGGGAAAAAAGTGCGTCTTATGGAGCGAAAAATACGGTACATCTGTTCTACAGTTTGTCAATCGTATTGATAGAAGTTGACAATGCATCAGTGACTTCTGGTTAGGAAGGGGTAAATACTTCAAGAGTATGGATGGCTCCTTGTGAAAGTATGGTGGGATATTCTGCAACCAGTCTACAATAAGCGGTATTAAAACCCAAAAGCAAACATTATATTGCAGGTTACCAATCATTAGATATGGTGGCTGCGTATTCTATCTGATAGCTGTAAGAGGGGTTCAATTGGAGGAGGATTTGGTTTCACTTACAGTGACGTTCTGAGGTGTTGAATAATATAGCATGTCTCACCTACCTTCCCATGGCCTACACTTCTCTGCCATTTGCTACAATCAAGTGTAATATCTGTACTTATCAGTGTCCATTAGGGGTAGTCCGCCATCATTCTGCCATTTTGGCTTGGATGGCTGACTGTATAGTATATCCGCTGGGATGATGGGGGTTCTGAGGGCCCTTCTCATTTAAAGAAACTTAACCACTTGCCGCCCAGCCACTGTACATATACGGCGGCAGGGCGGCACTCGCAGGCAAAACCACGTTTTAAAACGTGTTTTGTAAACAAATAGGGGGCGCGCATGAGGCGCGCCGCCGCCCTATCTGTCCCGCGGATCACCGCCGCAGATGTCAGTCGCCGGGTCACAGCCGCTCCTTAGCGGCTATGTCCCGGCGATCGGCGGCAAACAGTGACAGAGAGCACAGCTGCAGTAGCTGTGCTGTCTGTCACTTCCCTGTCAGCTCGAGGATGAGCTGATCGAGAAAGAACAGTTTCACTTTCTCGATCAGCCTTGTCCCGCCCAGTACACACCCCCGCCCCCTAGTAAAACACTCCCCTCACTCCTATAACCCTTCCCAGCTAAATAAAGTTAACCCCTTCCTCCCCGGTGCCATTAGTACAGTGTCAGTTTTTTTTATTTTTGCACTGATCACTGTATTAGTGTTTTTGGGGATGTCAATGACCCCAAGTCAGTTCCCCCCCAATGTCAGAATGTCCGCCGCAGTCCCGCCATAAGTCCCTGGTCGCTGCCATACTTCGCTGGTCGCTGCCATAATTCGCTGATCGCCGCCATTATTAGTATAAAAAAAACCCCTAAAAATCCCAGTATCTTTCCCGCCATTTGTAAACGCTATAACTTTCACGTAAACCAATTATTTTACACGTATTGGGTTTTTTTTTCTAGCAAAGACACGGAGCAGAATGCATTTTGGCAGAAATTTATGACTAAATTTGATTTTTGCATTTTTTTTTTTACTGGACATGTTTTATAGCAAAAAGTCCAAAATATTGTTTTTTTTCCTCAAAATTGTCAGCCTTTTTTTTTATAGCGCAAAAAATAAAAACCGCACAGGCGATCAAATACCACCAAAAGAAAGCTCAATTTGTGGGGAAAAAAAGGATGTAAATTTCATTTATGTACCGTATTGCATGACCGCGCAATTGTCCGTTAAACTAGCGCAGCGCTGTATAGACGAAAAATGGGGTAAATTGCAGTATCTCTCCCATAGTTTGTAGACGCTATAACTTCACACAAAGCAATCAATATACACTTATTGGGATTTTTTTTACCAAAAACATGGAGCAGAATACATTTTGGCCTAAATTTATAACCAACTTTGAGTTTACTATATATTTTTTATAGCTGAAAGTAAAAAATATTGTTTTTTCTTAAAAATTTTGGGCCTTTTTTTGTTTATAGCGTGAAAAATAAAAAGCGCACAGGTGATCAAATACCACCGAAAGAAAGCTCTATTTGTGTGAATAAAAGGACGTAAATTTCGTTTGGGTGCAGCATTGCATGACCGCGCAATTATCAGTTGAATTAGTGCAGCGCCGAGTAGCAAAAAGAGGCGTGGTCATTAAGGGGGGTAAATCCTCTGGAGCTCAAGTGGTTAATTAAGCGCTCGCTGGGTAGGGTGAGGGGTGGGAGTATTTTGCTGGTGTGGAGAGTTCCAAGAGGCCCAGTGCCTCCTGAATTTAAGCATTGCTACCTTGTCTGACCAGTACTGAGAAAACAGAGAGCCCCTGGGAGTGGCCCCTTGGGGATGCTCTGAGTACCACCATGGGTTTGGGACCCCATTGTGAGAAAAAGCATTCTGGCCACAACACCATAGCTTTTTGCTGCAAATTACCTCATGAACATGGCCTTTTGGCCTGAGAATGGGTCAATTTTTCTTACCGGGCCCCTAGGTCTAGCCATTGCACTAGCCAGCACCTTTTTTAAAATGCTTTTTCTCCATGTGTGTCACTTGCACTCATACAGTATGTGTGTTTTCTATTCACTCATGGACAGTAGGGTGTGGGTCTCTGGGCCTACCCTAAAGTTTAGGAGGAGGATGCATGGCCCTTAGGTTCCTTCCTCCCCTGCCCTTAAGATCTCTCTTTGGGAGAGCGCCTCACCCTTTACTCTTTGGTCAGCTACGCCTGTCCATGAGCAGCAGATCAGCTGGACCTTTTTGGCCAAGTGGACCTGAGTGTCAGCAAGTACAAAAGAGGCTGGAATCATTGGTGCGCCGGCACGAGTCCCTCCACACTCTTCCAAATGACCCATCCAACAGAGCAGAGCCAGCAACTCGGTGGCATCCATAAACCTAAAACTTTATTGACTACATGATAAAATCCAGTGAAGAACAGGCTATGAATGGGAAACATAGCCATGACTAAGGCTGTATAACCAAAACGCGTAAGCCTGTTTTTCACTGGTTTTTACCATGTATTCAACAAAGATTTACGTTTATGGATTCCACCCAGCTTCTGGCTCTACTGTGTTGGGTGGACCTGAGTGTGCCTTGCCCCTGCCAGGAGGCTTGTGCCCCAGAGGATCAGAGAAGAATCCTTTCTCTTCGGGAGGGGACCATTTGACACATCCTAAATGCATTTTTTAGTGTTTGTGTAGTTTTTGGTTCATTTTGTGTGGTTTGTTTTTGCTCATCGGCTCAAAAAAAGAAAACAAATTACTAACTTACCTACCCTTCTACTGCTGTTGTAACACTAGAGTAGCCCTTAAATATGCCAAAGTCCACCCTCATTACTGCACCGCCACTCTCTCTGCAGTACAAAATTAATACTCATTAATGTATCTGATTGAAGGAACCATATCTTTGTGTTTTCTTTTTACCAGGTAATGGAAGTTGTACGATCCAACTACGATACACTGACGCTGAAACTGCAGGATGGCCTTGACCAGTATGAGAGATACTCTGAGCAACACAAGGAAGCCACCTTTTTCAAGGAGCTGGTAAGCCATTTAAAGGGTGCTTCTTAAAGCGGAGTTCCACATGAAAATAAAAAAAAAATTAAAGTCAGCAGCTTCAAAAACTGTAGCTGCTGACTTTTAAAATGCAGATACTTACTTGTCCCTCGGTCCATCGGTGTCCTCACTACCGCTGGTTTCGCTGGCCGTCTTCTCTCCCTGGTGCCGGCACCTTCAGTGTGGGCACCCGGTTGTGACAGCTTGCGGCTTCACAGCCGGGTGCCCACTGCGCATGCGCAAGAAGCGCTGCGCATTGTGAATGGCCCCGTAGTCTTCTTGGACCTGTCACGTGTCCCAGAAGACTACGGGGAGGGGGGAGGATAACTTCCGCTTCCGATCGCCTAGGCGATCGCAGCGGAAGTGGGTACCTGTCAAATTCGGGTACCCGCTCCCCAAACGTGCCAATCCTTAACCCCTTGGTGCCGGCGCCTCCCGGCCCTTTAAGGGTTTGAAAAGCCCGGGAGGCGGGCGGGGTTTTAGGGTCATGTGACCACCGTGATTTGCCGTCACGGCAGTCACATGATCGGGAAGGTCCCAATCGAAAGAGGAGATTGGGACCTTTCCATGAGTACCAGATATGTGCTGGGAGTGCGCAGGGCGCGTGCTCTCAGCACATATGTTTTTCTTAATTGCACCTAGGCCCAGACACCGGGAGGCCGCACATTTGTGTGCGGCTGGCGTGAAGAGGTTAATGGGGAGCAGGGGACAAAGGCTTAAAGTGGAACTTCCCCTTTTGGTTTGAGCTCCACTTTAATATCAAGAAAGTGAGAGACCTCCTTGTAGCAGACCCTAAGCCAGGGAGGATACACCCCATTGTTTAGCCATTTTAGAGGGCACCGGCTGTGAAAGGTCCACAGCTAAGAGGAAATACAATAGGAATTCTATTTATTTCAAGGTTTTGGCAGCACCCAGCCACCCGGCATCTTCGACTATCTAAGTAAAGACCCCAAAACAAATGAGTGGCAGTTATCTGGGTCAAGGTGCCTTTTAAAGAAGACATCCACCAACACTATTTGTGACCATGTGAAATAACCCTTTTAGAGGAGCTTTTCCATGAAACCACATCCCCTTGTATAGT